GAGAATAGAGATTACATTGAACTGCAACCCATTGCAAAATTAATTTATTTTAAAATGTTATCATTCTTTATTTTCGTCATTATGATACCTATATGTCTATTGTCTATTTAATTTACCACTATTATAAATATTAATTAATAATAAACAATCGTTTGCTCAAAACTTAAGCTCAATTTTAATCCTAATCTAAAACATTGTACTGACACATTACACATAAATTGTACAGACTTTGTCATTTATTAAATTTTGATATCACGAAAGAACTTAACGCAGTTTCACATGACGTGTAATCAAAACCGTATTCATTACATAATGTTATAACACCGCAAGTCAAGGCTAAAAATTACTTAACTATGACTTGACTATGCATCGCTATTCATTACTGGGTCAGCAATAAAACACAATTTGCCGCCATATTGCAACGGAATGTGGTTCAAAAATAACCGTTAGATTTCAAATTCTTTGATTCTAAAAAAGTGTTGGCTAGTGTTGCGAATTGAATAGTAACTGTTGTTCAATGTCGTGCGATTTTTTTAGATAAATAAGTCGATAGTTAAGCTTTGTGTCTGAATTGTATAATCTCAAAAACTACTAAACGATTTTTCATAATTATAGTTTTTACAAGAGACGAGATATATAGCGAATACAAGTTTTGTGCAATTAAACGCAGATCGAAGTCAGACCAGGTCAACCAACTAGTTTGGTCATGCGTAAAAAATCAAAACCCAAAACACACGTGACTTTGATCGTGAAATCACGCGTGACTTTTAAACTAAAAACCTGAGACACGTGACCAAAATTGCAGTATTTTTTGTACACATCGAACTACGCAAAACTAATTTAAGTTGGTCTCACTTAATATGATCTTTTCGCACACTCGACGGTCAGTTTATGTTGGTTTGTAGAGGTTGATGTGTGCAAACGCCTTGGCAGATTGTCCTCATTAAAAAACAAAAGGTCAAAGCCCAGATTAACATAGTTTTACTTCTTAACAAAGAACGATTATAAATCATTCACATACATGCGATGTAGCATGTAATTTTAAGATTATAATTTATTGATCTTGATTTATGCACCTAATCCTAGTAGTTATCAAATCAAATCTTTAATGATGTTTTGTTTTTAGCTAAAACAATTGTTATGAATCTAAAATCTTTACTAAAATTATAAATAACTACGAACATATTATATTTGTTGGTTTATATTTCTTTTACTCTGCAATAGAGCATTTGTGTGACATGATTTTTGTGTCTCATGATAGTAAAGAGACCAAAACATAGGCAATGTTTTCCTTTAACTACGCGACGTGGGTGAAGCTGTGGGCATTACCTAAGTCAATATTTCATAAATAAGTCCTCTCGGTTTTTATGAAGCGACACAAATAACATATAATTATAAGTATTTTATTTGAATTATCCCAAGAAATTAATCAACAATGAATGGTTTTTCAATACAATAATAATTCATTATTACATTTAAATTGCATAATTCAATAGATTGGAGTTTATGGGAGTTAGATGACTGTTTACTTTATTTTTTCCTGTTGTTATGAATTAAAGTGCCGTTTGTATGAATATTCAGTTCAATACGTAAAACCGCAGAATTTTATATCTAATGTAGCATTAAGTTAATTGATACTTATATAGGTGGTGGAATAAATGAAAGGACAATTTATTATACAATAAGCCCGTAGCATTAGCATTCAACTATGTATACGTTTATGTATTGCTAACAAACTATAACAGTTTGTTATATTGTCTTTCTGTCAATTGCCATTATATTGTAAACTACCTCGTTGACCAAGTGGTCATAAGTGCCGTGCAAGGGGTCTCGGGTTATGTTCCCGGTTCGGGTAAAGTATTACTGAGTTTGTCTGAAAATATGCCTGGTAATAGGCTCAACCCACATGGGACTCATGATAGTGAAAAGTGGGTGTTACATTGTACAGTGGCATTAAGTGCCGTAATGTGCACCTCTGCCTACCCCTTCGGGGATAAAAAGGCGTGACGTTATGTTATGTCTGTCTGTCAGTCTACTTATTTGTCTGCCAGCGTTGTACAGAAATAAATCAATTGCTACTTATCTTACTGTGGTAAATAGACTAATATGAATTAAGTACATACGTATGTATGTAGAATGAATATTCCACTATTCCATGCACTTAGTATGTGCTATTACAATACATGGATCATTGACTCGGTCAAATATGTCAATTATTTTTCGTACTAAACTGTCTTATGTACTACATAGTAATAAAAGAATACGTCGCTAAGAGTTCGGTGACTATAATTATAATAAACTATGAAATCATTGATCATCAAAAATTTATTAAAAATGTTGACATTTTGAATAATTTCATAAGAGGAAACGGAAAAAATGTATACTCTAATGAAATCTTTTCTTCCGCGGGTACTGGAAAACCACGCCAAGACGAGCCTCTAAACATTTCTCTACCGGAATTACTCACAATCTCCATAAAATCTTCATTAAAGTGAGTATGTATTATCAAAAAATCTGACGTCACAACCATGAAACATATCTTACTCACCTATATAAAATTTATCGTCAGAATAATTATGCGGAAAAACTGACGAAAGACCAAGTTATCATTTAATGTAAATAATTATAAGTACATACACACCTAGTCATTGCATAAATAAATATATGAGAAATCTTAGATTTAGTTTGAAACTATGACGTATGAAATTCTTTGAACAAAAAGTCAAGATAGAGTCATTGATAAAATCTCAACGCTGATTCATTAACCATGAAATGATGCTTTGTGTTTGATTTTTAATCTTATTACCTAATTGATGAGGTTGAAATTTGAAATTTCTAATGATATGTGTGCTTGCTTATAATGTAACGGTGTTTTAACATTAATATTTGATATACAGGATGATTTCATTTCTTAGACTAGTGATTTTCATGTTCTGTATTAGATTTCTAGATCTGGTTATAGTTATCATTTATAAAAATCTGGATTTATGCTAGAGAATGGTATTGAAATTGCTTATGTACTAAACACTAATTTAATTGAGTAGAGTTAATCTTTTCTTTCACCGATGAAACATAACGTCTCACCTTTATCCCTGGAGTGGTATGCAGAGGTGGTAGGCAGAGGTGCACATTAAGGCACTATATGCCACTGTACAATATAACATCAACTTTCACTATTTATGTTATAAGTCCCATGTAATAAGGGGTGAGCCTATAATTGCCATATACCGGACACAATTCCAGACTCCGTACTATTACTGAGAATTTGAAATAGACTGATGAAAGAACTAACAAAATGTGTTGTTCTTTATCTATAATACATATTTAAATATTTAAGTAATTTCTATATTATGTACTAGTCACACTAAGATAATATAAAGAATGATTAAACAAACACACACAAACTGAGAAAATATTATTTATACGATATTTACAAAACTATTAAAATAGATTCTTAAGTAAATTAATCAAATACATTTAAGTCAATGTATGAATAACTTTAATAACTTTATGACGAATTTGAATGAAATAATTGTAATAAGTACATAATTGATTTGTAATTAATTCAACATTGTTATTCAATTGTTAAAATGTCGCGTGTTCTAATTATATTAACATTGTGATTCGATTGTTTGGTTAATGTATATTAATTGTTAATTGTTACAATAACATCTTTCATTAATAAGGTAATAAATTAATATAATCACCTTTGTATCCTTTGTATCCGATACTTAAATTAATGGTCTATGCAGGAAAAATACGTTATAATTACTTAACTATATTTTTCTTTCTAAATGTGTAGACGAAAGTACAAATTGTAGCTACCATGTTGTATCAGTTATAATTATTATTGGCATATACACATACAGTACTAGAAATGTCTAATGACTACCTAGTCAAAAGTATTAAATTTAGACATTTCAAATATGAAAAATGTAGAAGAACAACAACATATGTCTAATATTATATAAATCATAATATACCTATATGATATTAGACATAGGTACCTACTATCTATATTATATACCGTTATATATACCGTATAGTACCTACACACCAATCGTGCAATATGTCAATTAATAAAACATTTCCAAAGTGCGTGAAATATTTGTACCGGTACCTAGGCCTATCGATTGAATGGAGAAAATCGTTCGTTGACCTCTGTTCTTGGCTACAAAGATTTAAATTATGTAGGTACCTTTATACTTTGCAATATGAAAACATGTTATATTATGAGACATGGAGCTCCATCGTGCCTTTTTATTTGTTCGTCTATTCGTCTGTATCACTATAATCATCCTATATGCGATAAACTTATATACTGAAGAAATACTGACATAAAAAAAATTGTGACATTTTTTATTAAATTGGTCCTTTGACCTTACTAGTGAAGATTTTGAAAATCTGATACAGAGATACTTATTAACAAATATTATGTAATGTTTCTCAATTATTTTAATTAGTGAGTATGTTAATAAGTAAATTAATTTCAATTCTATTGGTTTAAACATAGCTACGTGCTTCACAGTACATCCGTACCGAAGGACCAATTTGAATAGATAAATATTATCTTATGTACGTACTGGCAATTTGCTTAACAATTGAAGATCTCTTACTATTATATAAATAAAATCGTTTTCTAGCATCTTCCATGTGTTTTCTTATGTATAAGTTAGCATTCTATATAATTGTTGGTGGATACCGAACGGTAAGGTTTTAAACCGGTAAGGTTTTGGTAAACAGATACAGACAGACAGACAGAACAGATACAGCATACTTTCTTAATACAAAATAGTTTATAGGTTTTAAAAATACGACCTACAAATATATACTTTGGTTATGAGGTTCAGGCTGTTGACCTAGATTCTAAATTAGCTTGGTAGGTGATGAATATAAGAAACAACTGTATTTTATTACTTCAAACGTTTTTAAACAGTTTGTCATTTTTAAAACTTAAGTACCAGAATATATAGTTCGTAATTGAATAAACACGAACATACCTTCAATCTCAACATTCTCTCCACTGGATGAGTCTGAGGAGTCATCTTCTATCTTCTTTTCGGTGACTATTGTGACGCTGTTCTCTCCACACTCGTTGTTGTGTGACCTCTTGTCCGTCACCGAGTGGAACTGGAAATAAAAAGAAAAATACTATTAATTATTGATTTTGAAAATATATTTATAGTTATTCTAAAAATTACGACCAGTCACTGAGATATAGACAACAATTTCGTCTATATTTTTAAAAGCTTGACTGCTAGTTCCTAGTGGCACAAGAATAATGGAAAATTGCTTTTAAAGATGGCTGCCTTTGTTTAAGAACATGTCATGACAATGATGACAATAAATAATAAGATCATCTCTTACTTAGGACAAGCCTTATAAAATAACCTACGCAGGATGCTGAGGCTATCTGAACCTTTTGACTTGCGCAATACGAGAAAATGAAAACAATATTACATATAATTTGTTACGTTATAAACCGTAAACGCTCGTTTAAACGTTAATTACGTTTTGTGTTTATTAGTCATGAAGACGTCAATAGTAAGTAAGTATTCGAATATAATTCAAACGACTAATCGTAACAAGAATTACCATAAAATTACACAAAACAAACAATTGTCGTCAAAGAAAAATAAGCCTTAATACCATGACGTAATTGAGTTTCAAATCATACAAATAATTTAGATGGTAACTCCCAATATGACGTAAAATTCCCACTTAAAAGTATAAAGATTAGAATTTTTCTTGTAGATAATTTCTAAATAATGACTATTCTGTAACACCTGATTTCCTTATTGCGTACAATTATGTGATTTCGTAACAACACGTAATTAATTACAACTGAGGTAACTGAGATGATGCCATCTGAAAATCCTTTTTTATCAAGATGACTCACACGCTAACAAGATTTTTGGGATGATTCGAACCGTAATGATTCTCCTACATCACAAGGCAGTGCAACAAGAACAGTTTTTTCATCATCTAGATGAATATTACACAAATAACTAGCTCAATTCTACTTTCTAATTAATTCTAGCTTTACAGGTATTACTGTACAATTTGCTTCGATAACCTAATCGTTATGAGCTATTACACTCGTTTTAACAATCAACGTTAAACGTGTTTTCAAAATAATCGTCGGAATATTCCTAATAACCAGTTGTGTTGGTATTGTAAGCTGGCTCTTGCACCTGCGTTGTGCGTACGTGATTGCTGTTTCACTGTGTTAACGTATACTTTACACGAGTAAGTAATTTAAGTATGACTAGGCAAAGTTTTAAACTATCTGTATCTGTGGATCTCCGTTTGACCTGTTTGATGTATATATTTTAATGTGCGATTATCTCGGGATTGGCTGAACCGATTTTAAGAAAAGTGTTTGTCTTACTTAGGTTTTAGGAAAAATAATTAACCGACTTCAAAAAAAAGAGGAATGAGCCACTAAGAGCCACTGAGATTTATCACCAACTCATTGTATCTAATCATTGCTAGGTACTTTTTAGAGATTGAGAATTCTAAACATGGATTCTACCCCAGAATAATGGCTATGGTATGAATGTTTGTATGAAATCATGAATACGGGTTCGATAAGTCATGGAATAAATATTTTTATTACCACAACATCTTTACACGGAAAAGATATAAACGATCTTAAATCACCATGACCTACAAGGAACTATTGTGATGTCATTCTTAGGTCATGCCCCAGACCTGAAAATGCCATGGTTCATATTAAATGGCTTTATACCTTTATAAGTCAGATGGTCACACTTTAAAAGGTACACAGAACTACGCGTCGAGTTATTAAAAACCAATTTATCGTGGTCTCACTTTGTATGATCTATCCGCACATTCGACGGCCAGTTTATACTGGTTCTGTATAGCTTGATTCGTAGCCCTGCGTTTAAGTTATGTCACGAACGTTTTTACAATAAGTTAAGTTTCAAAACGGCAACTTTTCTTAACTTGCCGACCATGACATACATCACAAAAGGTTTAAACCGCAGTTGTGAATCAATACGTTTTCCTTAGTGCTCGAGGCGAGAATTGAACCGCGAATGTTGTGTAGAGCAGTCAATGAACTGTTGCGTAGTAGTGTTAGGTGGGTTATTTAGTGTAATATGACTTATCATGTTGTAGGCAATAGTTTTCTGTGTAGGTAGACGAAGGACCAAATTGTTTTGAACTTGGTCCTTTGAGACAATTTTTTAGGAAATATTTTGAGAACAATCATATAACCCAGAGGTAAGGTCATATAATATACGAGTAAGAAAAATAATTGAAATTATAGTGAATTGTAGTAATAGGTATAGTTTGTGTTTAGACAAACAGAGTAAACAAGAAAACAAATAATGTCTATCCTTTACAAAACTATGAATAATTCTACACGAGTATAGAAAAGGCGATAAATTGAATCGTGAGCCGCAATATACCACCTCATTAAATATACATAGAACTTGATAGTATGTATATATTTATGTATATTACATCTGTTATCTCTAACAAATAGCTTGAACATGAGCGTTTAATGCGGAAAAACTAGCAATTTACTGCTTTAAAAACTTAAATTTACAGATTTATTGCGATTTTTTTAAATGACAGTTTTTATTTCTTTTAAAGATACAAAAAATGTTATGATTTTTTTTATTTATTACATAAAACTGAAGAGTTGGTTTGTTTGTTTGAATGCGGTAATTTTTGTAACTATGTGTTCAATTTAAAATAGTTTTGTGTCGCATGGTCCATTTATCGAGGAAGACTATAGGCTATGAAACATCTCATTCCGACCAATAGGAGCAAAGCAGAGCGGCTGAAACCGCGCGGGAGTACGAGGTACTAAATATTTTTTGTTGTTCATAAACTTGGCATGTTTTTCCCCGTAAATCGTGGGCGCGTATTAATGCACCCACATTTTACTCGATAAGCACTTAATACCACGTAGTAGGCGAATCTATTTTTGCATAGACATAAGGTAATATAAATCCAAATTAAGAAATACTGAGAACCTAAAAACTTTTTGCCTGAATCAAAAAATACTCAGAAATGCATAATGTTTTTCCCGGAACCAAATGAGCTTTATCGATGACTCGACGTTAAACTGTCATACGTATTTTTAACATTGCCCTTATTAGGTAATTTACCGATACTGTTATATTTTACATTAGAATCTAACTTAAGTCCCCCACTAATTTAATACATTTTCAACCCTATTACGCTTGCAATAATGAAGAAAATCTAATAAATTGTTTCCTCAGTTAGGAATAGTTTGACGTGCTAGTGGTACAAACCTCTCACTATGTTTTGAAACATCTGAGAGTGAAATGAGAACGGTTCAATAGATCTGGTTTTTGCGTCTCATGGAGTAATAGTTATACGAAGAGTTACGATAACCTATAAAACTATGGGGAAGAATGCGAGCTCACTTTAAAGGTATAAATTGATAGTAACATAATAGCCTAACTGATTTACCACCTTTAGCCAAACGCCACTTTAGCGCTTGTCTACAGAGAGAGTAGAAAACTAAATGTATGGGGATGACGCTGATAAGTGTCAAAATTTACGTCAATTCCATTTAATCTGGTTGTCTATTCTACATGTAGACAAGCGTTAAATGGCATTTGGCTACAGCTGCAGACAGCTTAAGATATTTCATATGCTAGCTCTACCTCTATTAAGCGAATCAACCGACACAGATATATTGAAACTGGCCATTAGAAGTTTAGAGGAAGCTTACGGTGCACATCCGAGGTGATTGTGGGATTAACATGGCTTTATATTACTTACGGTATTTTGACGGTTTCATTTGAGATAGACGGATTATATAAAAAAGATATTATAACGTTTAAAGTACTTGTTCTAAGTTTGAGATGATGTCTGGAGATATATATATATACATACAGTATACCTACATTTTTTATTTAGTTTTGGAATGTAGAACTGTTTTAAAAATCGCCAGGGTAACTGTTTCGTTTAAAAAGGAGATTCAACAAAGATATTTGATTTTTCCAGTAGACATTTTTTGTCAAAATCTTGAAGCTTTTGTACACAGCCGCACAAGAGCGTGGGAGCCGATGTTTTTCATCTTAAGAAAAAAAAACAGGTTTAACTCGTGACCTAATAAAAACAGATCGATAAATTATTATGTAATAGTTTAGTCATTAGGCAAAAGAAAAAAATATGCAGATTTAATACAAAAACTAAGTGACACGTGTTTTATGGCCTTCACACAGAGAAAAATTCAGCCAATACCGGTTACCGTCAGAATTGTAAAGAACAAACAATTATATTATTTAAGTAAGTGATAATACGTGACATTATCGCACGAATTATTAAGATTACTCTAATCTGTTCACGGTAGTACTTGGTGGTATGTACAAAGTCTGGCAGTTAAACTTACACCTATCTGTCAAATGGATTTTTAGCTTAATACTATCACAGTAAGATTGAAAATCCATTGAAGATTAGTATAGTTTGAGGTGCGTGATGAGTTACTTGAAGAAGAATCTCTCCCTATCATAATGTTTGAGCGTGATAGTACCGCATGGTTTAGTACTGTGTAAGTTTGCTAAACATATTTACTAATAAGGATAATAAAGTTTAAATTTGTTTAAACGTCTCTTGAATTAGCTGACTGGTATTTTTTTGTTGATAACGGGGACTTTCCTTAGGGAAGGTTATAGACTGATATCATATAATAATAAGTGGTCATAAAACTGACGTTACGAGGAAAAGCTATTTTTAATAATAAAACGACTGAGTTAATGAAATCAGTAGATAGAACAAAACAATAGCTTAATTTTTTATAGTTGCTTTTGTTTTTTTCGCATTTCAATAAACCGATGACTCAAAACACCATTTTGTTCAGAATAATATTATTTTTATTAGACATTTTCATTGAATATATTGATTTTGAAAAGACTGCAGAACCAAGGACAAAAATACTTTTGAACCCCCACCACAATGTCAATTTTCAGTCGCTAATTTTTGTAACAGATCAATCAATTATTAACCTTATGCTATATATCAATATAAAGTACAATTTACTGGTTTCCATGAATCTCCACGCGATGAAGGCATGAAACCTTCGGCGTGTCGAGTTACTTAGAGTTAATTTACTTTATGTAATGTATCAGTTACATAGAATACAATATAACGAATTATATACCCGTATGTTTGCTCATTATTATCCATATACAAATGTGCTGATACATGAGTTTATGAATGGCAGTTCTGATTAGCAGAAAACTCTATAATAATTTCAACAATTGCTCAAAAACTGCTGAATGGATTTTGATAACATTTTGATATGCATAGATCATGCATTGTTTCTTTTTGCAGAGAACAAAAATAAAACGATACGTATTCATGTCTAAGTAATTTTGTTTTTATACACAAACCTAGCAAGGAGGCCTTAACTGTTTTCTAAGCCCGATTTATCACAAAAAATGCCTACTTTTGTCCACAATTTTTCTAGTCAAGTAGAAATACAATGAGACCGGTGTTATAAACAGTTTGGTTACAAAATAAGACGATATTGTAACCGGCCATAAGACGCAAGGTCGGCTTACATTCACTTTACATGGTACCGGTCCGGTTTGCTACCGATTTTTAAAGCAAGTCGCGTTTTTTAAATAATATATTGTTTATGCTGTATTTTATTATTTTACGAAAAATAATATTAAGACGTTAATAGGGTTTTGTTTCTCCTTTTTTTTAAGGGGGGAAAATCATCGAATGACTGCTCCCGCCTGGGTGAGGCGGAAGGGAGTGTCAGACTCTTACTGACTAAAAACCACCCCGTTCCTTCTCCTGCACGTCGAGCCGGAGCCCCGGTTACCCGTTAGGTTCTCTGCGACAGGGTTTTGTTTCTCCTTAGGGTGGTTTTTAATTAAGATTGATTTTTTTAATCGGTTTTAAGAAAGACGGAGATTCTCAATTCATACGTTTTGTTGTTGCTCGTTCTTTTTCAAAAGCACGACGGTATGTGTGTCTTTTATATACATATTAGAGAAGTGAGAAGAAATATTTAAATGACTTAAATGTACACGAGTTCTTTCACTGCAATATATTTTCATATACATAATTAGGTTTATAGTCTCTGTTCTAGAAATAACTAAGTAATGACTAATGAGACAAAATATAAATAATTTCAGCTTGCACATTGTAAACTGAAATAATTCCATTATTTATAAAAGGATCAGAGACTCACTTCTATAAGTAGGCATGGTTCACAGAGATAAACTTCTCAAACAGATATAAGCCTTATTTGGAGAACATTTAAACGCATATTTGTTGCGAATATATTTTGGGAACAAATTGACTGTCCTGCCAGTCACCTGTCAATTTTCTTGACAGATTTTGTAACGAATAGCGGGCCTGTCCCATATATAACATTGTAAGTGGGAAAATATATCGTATCTACCATTCCTGTCAACCCATTTTTTCTATATGAATAATTATGATTGCGATTGTATGTGAGTGATATTTTTTATTCAAAGTAGATTGTAAAATTACTCTTTAAAATGTTAACGTCTTTAATTCCCTTCACCTTTTGAAATAAACTTGATTATTTACGAATTTTTATATCGATTTAAGAAAAGTGCTTGGTTTTTTAATGAAAATGATATAAAAACAGTTATATATTACATATAAATTTTAGGTCACTGCCTCGCTGGTATTTAGTTATGTCAATTGTTTATTGCACATAAATTTATTCATTGAACATGTTTTTATTGACAAAAAAATATCAACGAAATTAATCTGATAACTTGTTTAGATTTACATAATCTAGACTTATAAATTGATACATATTTATGAATAAATAAGTGGTTTAAGATTAAAATACTGAATTAAAAATTACATTAATGTTTTGGCCCTTTTTATTTTGTATAATTGAAAAGGTTGTTCAATTTGACGTATTTTTTTTTCAATTTGACGTTTAAGAACAGATATTTACAGAGTAGTTCTTTTCGTAAATATAAAAGCTTGAAATAAAAAAAAAACTTACCGAAGGTTTAAACAAAATAATTTTGGATTCGCGTCTCAACCGCCTATAGTCTCTGATATCGTAAAAACAATCGTCCTCATTGTCCGAGCACGTTGTATAGCCGTGTCTACGCATCTTAATCACAATTTCTATTATACATCAAACTCCGACTTCTAACACTTCACCCTTCAATAACTTTCGAATTAAATACGAAAGAAAATTAATAATAAAATAACCAAACGGTAAAAAAAGTATTTAAAAAGTTTTTAATAATTTCAATAAATTTAAAAATTATGTCGGAATAACCGAGTGGCGTAATAATCCTAATTCGACGTCTAACCAATTGTCACATTCGCGGTGAACTGACAATGAATAGTTTGTAAAAGTATCAGATAGAGTATCTCAAGTCATGCGTTACTGTTACGATTTTTTACTTCCTCAGTTTACTTAGTTTATTTCGGAGGTTTACATCACGTGGTTAGTGGAAACTCGAACAATAGTAAGCCGTTTCCTGACATAATTAGTTCAACAAGTTTTTTGTTTATATGGAAGTTTGTAAATATAATGTAAAATGCGTGTATTAGTAGTAAGCTCACAGCCATTTATTCAGTATTAAATTTTTTCATAAATATTAAAAAATATATATTGATATTGAATACTAATAGAAACATAATTAAAACATAAAAGCAATGATTATTTTGAGCATTGCAATAATAGCAAAATATTTCACAGCACACCAAATAAATATGACCCAGTAAAATATAACCAAACGAAATAATTATGCGAGACCAACAAAATGAACAAAAATACCGGTTTTTATAATAGCTGTAACCACCATTGACGTCATAAGAGTGCAATGGCATGTTCTTAAGATCATTCTTGTTGAATAAAAATAGTTTTTCAAGTTCAAATGTTTACAATTATGTATTATGGATATAATTATAAACAAAATTGTCACAAATAAATGTTTTTTTATAAAACGTCTATTCTTTTATGAAGTAAAAGCTATATGTGGTATTAAATTATAATTATATGGTTTAAAATGTTTCACAAAAGTTACAAGAACTCGTGTTATGTGTATATTATAGTCGATGCACAAAATTGTAGAAAGGCAAATAATAAAATATGAATGTCAAAGATTAGATTTGACACGTGTTTGCATATATAATATTGGTGTATATAAATAAGTTTTATACGAAATAATGTAAGACATGTTGTAAATACATAATTAATACAAACATTACATTTTTACTATCAAACTAGAGCAAGATAGTGAGTTGAATGGCCTCAATTATATTATGTGTAATATATATTATAAGTTATAAATTATTCGAACTACGTTAGAAAGTTTTTTATTTACGTATATATTACATTTGTTTTAGTAGGATATTTTATATACATAATTTTTAAGATGGTTAATGCTTGCTTATAGGCTGAAAAGTAAATACGGTGAATAGAGTTGTATAGTACACACTTTTATCAATATGTTATATACTTTTTTCTTATAAAATACCTATGCCAAAGCGCTGAAACCTTTTGAATTAAAAAAGAGATATTTTACTTAGAATAAGATACAAATATAAATTATATATTATTCTGTTAATGGATTAGATAATACAGAACAGGAGAAAGCCAGCTATTATTAGATCTACAGATACTTTTGTTTCACCTCGAACAGGGCCCTTATTGCAAGCACTTAGATTATATATTTGTATATATAAAGATAAACATGCAAGCTTATCGATAAAAGTCATTAACCCCTTTATCCACAGCGTTATCATTTCAATGTGTGTCAATATGACCAGTCACTTTAATACCATGTTTATATGCTATATATATATATTAAAGTATATCCTAGCTTTAGATAAGATTAGCAATGTAAAACTATGTTGTATATTATGTATTGCTAATAAAATGTCTGTACTGTACTGTCATAATGCGGTGGTTATAATTTTTATTATATATTTGTAAACTGTTTGTCTGATTACGTTTATATTTAGGATTGTTTCGTTTTTTTTATGAGATAATAATTTAGTTCGATGTTTTACTTGATATATTTGTTACTAGATGCGTTTATTTTTTTATTACTTTATTAAATTATTGGAAACTGGATACAATTTTTATACTTATTCGACACATTATAGTATAAAATCTTGGTACAACGCTTCGGAATAGAGTACACAAGAAGATATATAAATAATAAATACTTGGGAATTAAACTTACTGAGGCTTCGTGTTAGGTACGCACTTTAGTGCACTTGGATCCAAAAGACCTATGGCAGTTTATTCATATAAATATATATAATTTTATCATATATATATATATTTCTCTATAAGCGGTTTAGCTTTGCCTCACAGTTACCGAGTAGACTACGACACAGTTGCGTATAAACATGACATTTAATATATTTCGTAAAAGTTTTAGAGAGAGTATAATGTATGGCAACAGTTCTCAGATGTTGTAAGCATGTGGATATACCAATAGGGCAAGAGGGATTCTGTTTGATGGAACAGTGACCTTTATTTTGTTAGAAATAGTGGTTGTTGTTATGTGGCAAATGTGAAGGGCCTCGTTTGTGCTTTCGTAGTAGGAAATGTAAGCATGTTTGGGTATTACAAGTCAAGTGTGTGTTTGATCACAGTGTAATGTCTCAGGTTTGAATTCTGTTATGTATAGTAGGTATTTTATGAAATTGATAATTATATTTTTCAAATTACCTTGTGAATAAAATCTGGAATGCTTTGATTCATTGTACAATTTTAATAAACCTCAAATAAAAAACCAATGTCACTTATCTTCTCAAATTGAAATCAGAATTAATGAAACAGTTTCGAGTGTTTTATCCAATTTAACATAACACGCACTTATTTACAAAATAAAACAAAACACTTTTACAAACAAAACAGAAAAAACACCCCACCGCACTATCAGACCAATCAAATTGTGATTACAATCGACGTCCTCTTTCTTTTATCACACCTATCACATATCACACACAATCCGTTACAATAACTGGGTTAAATGATAACCACGTCTGGCAGACAATATGGTACGTAAGATAATGAAATAAATATTTTATACCTTCGAGAATTAGAGATAATTATTATCAATAGAGGAACTATTATATTCTTATCGTGGGAAAATGAACTGCGCATTTCTATGTCTTGAAGTTGCATGTGCATTGTGCAAGTGCTGAGTAACAGGCTATTGGTACAATTTCAATGTCAAATAGTATTGTTACAAAATAAAAATGTAGTAGCTTTCATAAAGAAACAATCATAATGACTATCCCCCAGCAGTCACCGGTGATCGCTCTCCACTAGCTACATTATAAACCTTATTTCCGATGGTTAGAGACTACTATTGTATGAATAACTTTTGGGGATTTATATTAAGTGTTTAAGTCATATTTCTACCTAGCATTCACGAGTTCTATCGACATTTGTGCCAAAATGTATTGAAATAGACACATTAATATAATGCACAAATATGTACAAGTTGCAAATCTAGTTGATGGTTAGCATTTTTCAAAGTCTTGTATTTATTTTAGGTGATAAAATAATCGTTAATTTTTTGCCCAAAACTAAATGCTCTAAATATTATTATACACTAAGCTCTGTTTATATTTTAGTGGACTAAATAGTGTGATGTAATTATCAAGTTTCTTTATTAATGCGTCTTTTAAAAGCGTTAGGTTTGAAATGTAATAGCGGTTTTCCTTGAAAATATCTAGTTACTAGGTAGGTATTAGATATTGCAACAAGCACACGTGGATGCCTAGATATAGGTACTAAGTTGTTGGAAGTTTTACCTGTGCATATTATTAAATATTATTATACTATCAATAACGTTATTAGGACAATATTATGTTTTTAATATACGTACTTCGTTTGTTTATTTCTATTTTTTAAATTGAATTTAAAAAAAAATAAACAAACGTCGTTAAACTTCCCTGGCATAGCGTTTTATTGTCATTCAAAAATGACATTTGTTTTTAACAATGGTTTTAAAAATTATAGTAGTTATAGGTTTAAGTTTATTTAATATTTCTTAGAACCCAGTGAGACGCCCAGACAGTTTTCCGTATTGGTAAATACGTCTAACATTTCAAGTATCATGGCGATTTCTTTCGTAATATTTATTGTTCTTTGCAACCGCTTCGGTTTTTACTTAACACAACGAAACAAAGGGAAAACCATTTCTTTGTACCTCGCATGCGTGACACACTTAGATAACAATTGTCCTTTAAAAGGACACTGACCATTATTCTGTCCTCCATAGAGGTCATTTTACAACGCAATACTTGACTCAGAAATATAAAAAATAAACCTTAATGGTGATAAAAAGAAAGGTATTCTGGAAAATTTTGCTTGCATCGCGTGTTCGTCTATCGCTCAATAGGTAATGCATTTAACTTCCTTCTAGCATGTTATGCAATGTTTTATGTGCATTGACGCGTATATACGTCAATATTTCATAGCGTGTGTAGTTTATGATCATAATGAGGGAATATAATTAATTACTATAACTAGCTATTTATACCCTTTAACGTCAACGAGCCGAGCGCTGTGTGACTATACCTAAGCCTACTCTACATGAGAAGGTTTTTTAAGGGACATGTCCGCCACAACCTCACAAAATTGCTGCAACACCTGTAAGCCAGGATCTACAGTAGATACAACTGTGAAAAACACCAAAAACTCTGTAGACCGGTGCGTCTCAGGGACATGAATATCTGTCTTGGATCTCACAGCGAAATAAATCAAAAGACATTATAAGAGGACAAGACACATACGAGGCATAAGTGGGTTTGCCACAGTCTCCGTGGTTAGCAGATGGGTTGGAGGTCAAAAGTGCCCGATCACCGTTAAATCTACAGTCCCTCAGTCGACTCATACAACGTCCTAAACCAGAGTAGAGCTAGTGACAATTATGTTCAAATCTGTCGTTACTATAAGACACCATAACACCCTTATAGAGACAGCACATTTTAATCTTAAAGAACTTACCCGAAGTTGAGAGTAAATTTAGGGTCAAACCCTTTAAGTCTAAATCAGATTCAGCTAAATGACAATTACTGTCTGTCATCCTCAAGATACAGGGTTTAAACCCTTCTTTAGACTAAGAGTTCTGGCTTCAACGGAATTGTTTAACCTCTCGTCTATTAGACCTTTTGAGAGTTCAGATTATTTTGTAAAAACTTCATAAAAAAATTCTTGAATTTTAATACTTATAAAATAAGTTTCAGTTTAATTAGTGGTCTTAATTTTATTTGCCATGTAACGACGAGACATTACAGCCTAATATTAATCATTTTTACGTCTGTCTGTCTCCATATCCTCAAGTAATTATTCTAAAACAATACATTAATATTGAAGTATTACGAAATCTTATCAGACACTTGATTTGAAGGGTGAAGGAGTGTCTATTACTATCAGTAATGAGTTCAAGTGCGTCAGTACTATTGCACACTGTTTTATGATACTCAATAATAATAATATCTATTATTAATATCAGTCAGTAGTCTTCCACACTTCAACAATGTATTCACGTTTGATAACACTCAAAATAACATTCGTAATATAACATAACACGCTGTGTGGTGCGATATTTACATTAATGTTTATAAATATACTGTAAAATATTCTTATCTATAATTTTGCGAAATTTTATCAAAGTTGAACCAGTCGTTTCGGCGTAACAGCGTCACAAACAATTTGAAACACACATTTTTTACGATTTTTGTGAACAACTTTATTATTACGTATCTACTTATATCTTATAAATATTTTATGTAGGTATACTATCTAAATTCCTTTAATAACGTGGGTCAAAAAAACAGGTTGCTTTTACGTCAATGGTGCGAAAAAAAAACAAATTTGAATGCAAATCTAATTCTGTATGGGTGCTTAAGTAATGTTTTATTGGCAAGTTTTTTTGTGGTCCTTAACGGGTCTTGGAAAAGGATGACAGGGTTTCGGAACTTAGACTCTAAAAAGGTGTTATTTAAGTTATTTTTAGATAATTGAAAGGGACTATACTTTTTAAAAAATTTGTTTTTATAATTAGTTATTTTTAGATCCAACCTTTGCAGGTATTATGCTTTAATATTTTTTTCCTTCTTGAGATTAATGACACGGAAAACTTTTATTGGACTACTTTATGTTTTAATGCATAGAAATTTAAAAAAAGTTTTTTTATTACTTAACCTGAGTAAGTAGATACTGACTTCTGATAAAGCCCTATATATGTTTTTTATTTATATGAACCTATTTTCGTTAAAACAATATTCTTTGAACTCAACATCAAATCAATAAATCAAGAGCACGTGGTTGGCATCACAAAAAAGAGTAAGTAATTAGTCATAAAATCGTAATAAACTCCCAGTTCTGTATATAGAGACGCACAGACAGACGAACTATTTGTGGAACAAACGCTCGGCGCGTGAGTCACTCCGGATGACTGTGTCATCACACGCGTTTACCTATAACCAAGTATTTTAAATGTTGCTCTGGGCTCCTGGACTAACTATGTGGTTCTTCTTAAATCATGTAGGTGTATGGTGTACCTATAGATATTAAGTTTGTCTAAAGACACGGTGTCTGAATAAGTTTCTGTGTTTTTGCTAACTGACAGATAATGTACCATAAGTATTTCCTATATTAAATGAAATGTACAGTTAAGTTTATAGGAACTAAATTAGAAATTGTGTGTGAGTAGTAGGAACCCTTAGTAGGAACATATATACCTAATAGATTTCTGTGAATTGAAACATGCGTCCATTTGCAGGGAGTTTTATAAGTAGCCATGGAATTAAATTGCTATGAACATAGTCATGTCTATTTGCCTCCGAAATTGTATGAATGGATGGGTCTTTGATATCAAAGAGTATTTAGTTATATTATTACACACCTTTTTAATACATTCGAAACTACAAGGCTTACAATTTAATAAAAATATCCACTAAATCGACCAATGGCATCTGTAACTAATGAATGATGTACTGATTGACAAAAACAGAATATAAAAAATTATGATAGATATTTAGTATAATATTATTCACTCTCAAAACTGGTTTTTGGTTGATTAAAAACTAATGAATTTTGACTTACTAAACAAACACAAAAGGTCTTTAAACACAGATCACCTATTATAGTAGTTCAAGAAGACTTTAGTGTCGTATATTTTATTATCTTTACTGTGAAAAGTATATGAATTCTATCCCTTAAGGGGAATTCAAGCAATGGTGTTATGCATCAAGAAATCACAATCTTAGTCCCAATACCTTTATGACGAGACGCTGCAGCTAGCAATCAGTCTCGCAACCAACACAATGGAGTCTCTGAAGGTTTTGTTTCATGATTCAACAATACGGAATCTCTATATACTTCGTCCTTTGTTATTTTATATTAGCTCGGTATGTTAATTACGTAATATAGCGTGAGGCCTATTGATTTCTCGAGGGATATGGCATACCCGGTATATGCTCGTAAAAAATGCAATATTCAGTTTTAACCAGTATTGTTTCCATATAATAAGGGTTAGATAATTGGCATATAATAGGCACAATTCAGAACTGTAATAATATAATTTTTGGAAAAGCCGTAAAATACCCAAACCGGGAATCAAGCCAAGATTTTTTGCTCTACACTCTCTTTGTTGCCTACTCGTACAGTAAGGCAGTAATGTTAATAATTTGAGTATTTTAATAATAATTTTGACACGAGTATCATAAATATTTTCTGACCTT